GTTCATCCAGCCCTGCACCTTGTTGTCTCGGATTCTCCAGCATCTGCAGTTCCTACTATCTCTGAATGAGATATACTCATCTGTTATACTTCAAAATAGGGGCGCTGGATGCCCATTTCCAAACATCATAGGCTTTCCCCCCCTCAGTCATCTGCCCAGCCCAGTGGAGTACATGAGAAAGGGAGGAATAAAAGGATATTCAGATTGGGCAAGATGGAGTACGGTGCGAGGTAGCTCATGTCAAACATGAATTCCAGCTCTTTTAAGTCTGAATGGTTTTGGTGCTGCAAAAACCACATAATTCTATGAGCAAAGATGTTATCCCAACTGTCCTGGTAAAGAATTAACCTTCAATCAACATCAATTAAACAGATTATTCAGTCATTAACAAATTGTTGTTTGTGGGACATTGCTGGGGTTATGTTGGCTGCTGCATTTCCTACAGTGCAACAACAACTATACTTCAGAAGAACTTTGTTGACTGTAAAACACTTTAGGGTGTGCAGATTATGAAAGGTGCTACATAAACATAGTCCCCCATTGCTTTGATTAATTCATCACCATGTTTCCTCATCTGTACTGCTTGGCTTCACAACAAGTAGTAGTTAACAGGGGAAGACTTACATTTAGAGAGAGATCCTGAGTAAAAAGGGACTTTATCACAGACACAGTACCATTTCATGACATTGAACTCTGTCTAATGTGTTCACATGCAATTGAATGATTGATAAGTAGGTAAAGAGAGAAGGCATTTGCCCCCTTTAAGATCCACAAATGACAATGACTTAAGTAATATGGTGATTGCCTATTATATCACCATCTCTTGAGTAATAGAAAAATTTCCTGATCTTCTTTCATATTCAATGTCCACTTGGAATTGGCAGCCATTTCTCCAGTTTAAACGGTTCGACCGAAGTTTGGACACAAGCTTGGTTAATCTGTGACTAAGGAGTAAGTGTTCGATAAGATGCTAAGGATGAAACAGTACTCTTCAATTAAAGGGGCTGGATGTTAGGTGAGATGCACCAACTTCATTTGCACAGTTCTCCCAACATCAACAATTTTTCTTTAAAATGAACAGCCACAAGTTTTTAAACTGTGCTGGCAGTGTCGACCTACAATTCTCAGTGCCTTGCATTCTGCCATCAAAGCAATTGCTTCCTTTGTGGCCCACTAATCCAGGCCAGCGAGTCAGCAAGCTTGTGATGTGAAGCCAAATAACTTCATTAGCGCTACAACTGCTGACACATATAGGCTGACTCACTGTAAAATTGTAATTAAAACAATCAAGCTAACAACAACAAGAAGGCTCTCACCCAGTTACCTTTAATGATTTTTCAGATTTAGCTTGGAAAATGTAATAACCAGTGAATTCAGGATCTCTGTACATGTGTGTTTGGGATTTTGAAGAGCTGCTTTTTGAACAGGCTACGGGCTATAACAGATATACAGGAAACTGGTGGTAAAAGAACGACTTACATTGCTGCAGTTCCCTTTTTTTAAGTCACTATTGTAGAAAAAGCATAATAAAGTTGCACACAAAATCCCTCAAACAGAAAATAAACATTTTCTGATCATCTATTTTAATAATGCCTGTGATAAGTAAACAATTTCACACAAGAAGTGGAAAAACTGAAACTGCTGGAGTAATCCTGACTGTCTGCAGTTCTTACTGTTCAGGCTGCAATGTTGAGGGAATGCTCTAACCGGAGCCAGCTGGAGTGTTGTGTACAGTTCTGAGCACCACACTTTAGGAAGGATGTGAATACATTGGAGAGAATGGTTGATGAGAATAAGACCATAATATGTAGCAGCAGAATTAGGCTATTTGGCCTAATTTGCTCCACCATTCGCTAATAGCTGATATGTTTCTCAAACCCATTCTTATGCCTTCTCCCTGTAACCCTTGATTCCTTTACAAATCAAGAACACATCTATCTCCGTCTTAAGTACACTCAATGACTTGGCTCCCACAGCCATAGAGTCATAGAGCTGTACAGCCTGGAAACAGACCCTTTGGTCCAACTCATCCCATTTGCCAGCATTTGGACCCTATCCCTCTAAACCCTTCCTATTCATATACTCATCCATATGCCTTTTAAATGTTGCACCGGCCTCCACCACTTCCACTGGCAGCTTATTCTATGCACGCACCACCCTCTATGTGAAAACGTTGTCCCTATGGTCCCTATAAAATCTTTCCCCTCTCATTTTAAACCTATGCCCTCTAGTTTTGGACTCCCCTACCCTGGGGAAAAGACCTTGACTATTCAATCTATCCATGCTCCTCATGATTTTATAAACCCGTATAAGGTCACCCTCAGCCTTCGATACTCCAGGGAAAATATCCCCAGCCTATTCAGCCTCTCCCTATAGCACAAACCCTCCAAGCCTGGCAATATCCTTGTAAATCTTTACTGCACCCTTTGAAGTTTCACAACATCTTCCCAAAGTAGGGCAACCAGAATTGAACACAATATTCCAAAAGTGGCCTAACCAATGACCTGTACAGCCGCAACATGACCTCTCAACTCCTATACTCAATGCACTGACCAATAAAGGCAAGCATACCAAACGCCTTCTTCACTACCTGCGACTCCACTTTCAAGGATCTATGAACCTACACTCCAAGCCTCTGCAGCAATGAGTTCTACAGATTAACAACCATCTGCTGAAGAAATGCTCCTCTTTTCAGTTTTAAAGGGTTGTCTCTTCATTCTGAGGCTGTTCCCTTTGATCCCAATCTCTGCTACCAGTGGAAACATCTTCTTCATATCCACTGTATCCAGGCCTCCCAGGATTCTCTAAGTTTCAATCAGATTCCCCCTCACCCTTCTAAACTCCATTGAGTACAGACGCAGGGTCCCCAACCTCCCCTCATATGACAAGCCCTTCATCCCTGGGTTCATTCTGGTAAACCGCCTACACACTCTCTCCAAGGCAAGCACTTTTCTTAGATACAGAGCCCAAAACTGCTCACAATATTTCAAATGTGGTCTGACCAGAGCCTTATACAGCCTTAGCAGTACATCTCTGCTTTGATATTGGGCATCTTCTCTGACCCATTTTAAAGGTACCATCATGCTCTGGTCAAGTTGGTTGGACTGACCTCACACATGGGTTAACTAGTAGTTGAAGAGTGCAAATACTGCCATGCACTTCAGAGAAAACACAATATTCATGGGTGAGTGAGCAGATCTGTGTCTTTCCTGGGAGATACTCTCAGAAGATTAAGGGATGAGTTTGTGCTCGGGTCACTGAACACCCTCTGATTTAATTGCCTGTTCAGCTGTCAGCTTCTGTCCACCTCTCAAGTGAAGACTAGGCCATTTTAAACTTCAACCCTTTTCCACTCAGCAAAGGAAAGTTTCAGCTATTCTGTTTATGAAGTTTTATTCTGATAGGGTTAAAATAAGAGGAATGGGAAGAGACCTGTATGGAGAGGCATTGGCACGGGCTAGCTGGCCCCTTTCTGCCTTGTACATTCCATATAACTTATCAGCCTGTCATTAATATTTACAAAAACCTGGAACTGTTATGGAAATGCAACCAAGGTGGTCAACATACAGCTCAGCCATGATCTAATTGAACATGCAATAAGCTCGAGGGCTCAATGGTCTCCCTCTATTCTTACGTGCAAGCCCTGATTGGCTGATGGTATTATAGATTGTGGGACCAGCGCTATCCCCAGCTGAAAAAAATATTTGTAGCTGTTTGTTGTGCTAGTTATGAAGAGAGTGGGAAAGAAATGCTTTAGACTGAAAAATCTCCACAAAGTGAAGTGCTTTTACTGGGAAGTACAGGCACTGAATGCTCCTTTGCATTCTAAAGCTGTAGAGAGGTAAAACAGCCGTGATGGAATTGAGTCAGACATCCGGGATTAGCTTCCCATTGTTCCTGAAGACTCTCTCACGCTGAATTGCAAGAATGAGGAAGGGAAGCAAGTTCACTACGTGACCCGAGAGTGACCTCAACAGGGGTCAGTGATGCACAAAAACAGGGATACCAGTCATAGAAGACCAAAAGGAAGAGATTGCTGGACGAGGATCAAACAGTTTGTGCATAGTTATTTTCATAACATGTGTTCTGCTGTTTAGCGAACCAGCTCCATGTTCTGTAGGATTTCCATGGTGGCTCAGTGGTTAACGCTGCTGCCTCACATAACCAGGGAC